CCGCCGCCGCCTGCTCCTCCTCCTCCTCCTCCTCCTCCTCCTCCTGTCAGTCCTGAAGTCATTTAACCAGAAAAAAGCTTCAAAGACCTCAACCTCTGACACCAGAACATCCACGCAGCTCAGTCTTTAAGGTGGAACTTTAGCCACAGCTCTGAGTCCAGAGACTTTGGTTGAACAGCAGATGACTAACAGTCACACACCAAAGTCTGATCAGAGGAGCCGAAGCAGTTAGCAACAGTTAAAGTTAAAAGCAGCTGAAGTTCAAACCAGACCACAGATTAGCTCAAAGATAACTAAACCAAACAGAAAAACAAAGAGTCAAAATGTAAACAACACCTTTCACCATATCAATATATTTACAAGTATTTCCTGAGAAAGTTTTGTCTGGTCATGTGACAGGAAGTAGGTCATGCAGTGGAGTACTGGTACCTGTGCAGGTGATGGTGGGCCCTGCGGGGGGACAGGGGGCTGTGGGAGGGGGACAGGGCTGGGGAGTGTCCCGGAGAACTGAGCTGCCTGGTGGTGGTCTTGATGTAGGAGGGGAAGATGGGGGGGTAGGGTTTGACCCCGGGGCTGGTGAAGGCTAAGGAGTGGTTGGACCTGAGGAGTCTTTTAGCTAAGGTGGGGCTCCCTTCCTGGAGAGGAGGTGGAGTGAAGGAAACGTTGCTCCTGCTCCTGCACCTTTGGGAGTAGGTGGAGGTGCTGGTGGGAGCAGAGAGGTTATGATCAGAACCAGTACTGAGACAGTCCTCCAGGGACTCAGCACTGGTACCAGACTCCAGGTGAACATCCTCATCCTGGACCCTCGGACCATCGGTGGCCTCGGTGCTGGTGTGATCCACCTCCACACCAGGGTCCTCCTCCTCCTCCTCCTCCTCTTCCTCCTCTTCCTCCTTCTCCTCCTCTGGGTCTTCCACAGCCAACATGTGCTCGGTGAGGATGTTGCTATTGGTTGTCACAGTAACCGAAGTCCCTCCCACTGTAGCCATGGCGACAGATATGAAAGGGCTTTGGTCCATTACAACGTGCTGCTCCTTTGTGTGGGGGGGTGGACTCCTGCTCTCCTGCAGCCCACTCACATTCAGCTCCACATGCTCCTCCTTTTCCT